TAGGCCAGCTGTCATGTAAGAGAGGCCACCTCCCTGATAGGGAGCTCACTTCCCTGGGAGCGGAGCCAGAGCCACAGCCACGTGTGGCCCGAGGGGAGTCCTTGAGGAAAGGGCGGAGGGTAAGAGACCAAAGAAAGCACAGCAGCTGCAGCTCCTGCAGCCTCTCCACCTGCACCCCTTCTGCAGCCTCCAGCCCCACCCTGTGAGGGTGCCGTCCTTGGTTAATGCCATTTTACAGGTGACATAACTGAGGCCCGAAGAGGCAAAGCCCAAAGTGACTTTTAAAAAAATTTTTAAAACAGACTTTACTGGGTTTTTCAAAGAGCTGCTTGAGGCTCAGAGCAAAATCAAGCAAAATATAAGAGATTTTCAATAAATTCTTGACTTCCCCCTACTTTCAACATCAGGCACCAGAGCAATGTATTCATTTAAACTGTTGAATCTACTTGACATACCACCACCCAAAGTCCAAGTTTACAGTAGGATTCACTCTTTGCTTGATCTTAGCCAAAAGGCTGAGAAGTGGCTTTTTTGGTTTTTTGTTTTTTTTTTTTTCCCCCAGTACTCAGGATTGAACTCAGGACCTTGCGCTTACAAAGCAGGCAACTGTGCCACTGAGCTAAATCCCCGGCCCTTACAGGTTCGCTCTTGATGTGTGTATTCCATGGGGTTTTGACAAATGTGTAGCGGTGAGTATGTGCCGTGATGGTCCAATGTGACTTTTAAGGAGAGCCTAGATATTTCCTTACCAGTGCCCACAACCGTCCTCCGGCCACCTTCCTGCATCTGTAGCGTGCTCGCACGAGGGAGAGGGCAGTCATTCACTCACCCTGTGCACGGGAGGCTGAGGACTGTCCCACAGCTGGAAGGCACAGTGCTTGGAAGGGGAACCAAGCTTCTGCCTCCCAGGGGGGCCCAGGACTTGCCCCTGCCCTAATCACCTCCCCATCCCTGACCTTCAAGGCTGAAGGAGAAAATGAGGTGCAGGGGCCGCAGGTGAGGGAGCATAGGCTCAGCAGGCTCAGAGCCAGCGCCCAGTTATCCTGCTCTAGGCCTCTCCCATCCCCTGGGGCTGGGGACTGCAATGACCTAGGCTCTGTCCCTCTACCCAGAAGCTTTCCGGCGCTGCCTCACTGCTCGCCTGGAACCATCCTCGGTCAGTTCCTTGGAGAAGATGAAGCTCCGCCCTAGGGACTCAGTCACAGCCTGCTGTTCCTCTGGACAGTAGGAACTGGGATTGCGGGTATTAATGAAAGCTCAATTTGTTCTTCTCTTTTTCTGAACTGGGAGAGGGGAACAGGACCTCGCTATACAGTTCAGGCTTGCCTTGAACTCACTAAGTAGGCCTTGAACTCAGGGATCATCCTGCTTCAGCCTTCCAAGTGTTGGGATTATAATCATGTCCCACCAACCCAGCTCTTTCATTCTTGTTCTTTTGGAGACCGGTCTCACTTTGTAGCCCAGGCTGGCCTCAAACTCAGGGCCATCCTCCTGCCTCAGCTTCCAAGTGCTGGGATTACAAGCGTGCACCAGCATGTCCACCATATTCTTATGTTCCTGTACCAACAAATACTTCCTTTCTGCCTACCGAGTGCCAGACTCTGCGCACTGGATACAAATGATGCTTTTTTTTTTTTTTATCATCTCTTTTGAACCCAGGGTCTTTACGCTGAACTATATTCCTGGCCCTTTTTAAATTTTATTTTTGGTTTTAACAATGGGACTTGCTAAATTACATGGGCTGGGATTGAATGCATGACCCTCTTGCCTCAGAGTGCTGGGATTAGAGAGGTGCTGAAATCGCACACATGTGCCATCAAGCCTGACACAAATTATACTCTTAAATAAATTAAACTGGCTCTAGAATGCTCCACAAAGAGATGGTGACATTATTACAAACGAAAATGGGTATGTCCAAAGGACAAACACAGAAGACCTTATTTAAGAGAAAAAGGATGAAAAGGAAATCCTGACTTTTCCCTTATACTAGGCTATCCACAGCAGACTTGCAAAAGTCGGGGCTGCTACAAAGCAAGATCAGGTGGCTTCCCTGGTTGGAAAGGAGAGAGGTCAGAGTGAGCGCGTTTCTCTTAACTCGCCTCTTGTTACAGGACTCATGCAAGATCCTTACAGAGATGGCAGCCTGCCCAAAGAGTGTGAAGTCATAAAAGGAACAAGCTTTCCACTTAAAGTCTTGAACAGGAATCAAACTGAGGGAAATTCCGGATAATTTACAACCCCTGGCTCTCACCACCAACAGAAAGAGGATGGAGTAGGGGAAGAAGTCCTGACTGCACACAGGCGTCCTTGCACGGACATTTGGGCTGCTTCTCCCCGTACTCAGCTCGGCTGCCAGCTAGAATCTGTACCTCCAAAAGCAGGCCTTTCCAGTCATGTGGCACAAGATAGTATCCGAATACATGTCCCACCCAGTCCCACCAGAGCTCCCTGCAAGGAGTCCCAGCCCGGAAGCGGCCACCTCCCAGCAGGAGGAGCCCGGCATCCATGGGGGGACAAGGGCGGGACCTGGGCTGAAAGGACCAGAGGCCAAGTGACCCACGTGTGCCGACCACATCAGGAGTCAGAGCCCAGGCACTGCCTGGGGGCAGAGAGCTGGGGCTGAGCTTGGGTCGGGGCTCTGTGTTTATCTCGCCCGACCGCACAAGAAGAATCAAAACGGAGCGCAGCACCCATCAAGCCGTTGTGACATCACGCAGTAAAGCAGGCCGTGCACTGCCCGACAACAGTTCGACTACAGCAACGGGGCTGTATGGACTCTTATTTTTCGATGTTCATTTTTATTCATGTATTTTATTAGTACATGTTTGCACTACACAATGATTACATTTATCGTGGGGAGTTTGTATATGTACATAACATCTTTTTTTTTGGTCCCTGTCCCTTCCCATCCCTTCCTGTTTCCTCCAACTTTTTTTTTCCTTCTCAGTACAGGGATTGAACTCAGGACCTTGCATTTGCCAAGCAGGGGCAGCACCAGTGAGCTACGTGCCCAGGCCTGCTCCAACTCTTAATCCCTTTCCCATTTGAAAAAGCTCCATTTCCATTTTTTTTTTCTTTCTTGAAAATCCCTTTTCTCTTCCTTCCCTCATCCCCTCCATCTCTATACTATTACTTTTTCTTATAAAAAAATATAAATATAAGTTTGGGGACCAACAGCGCCTCTAGCTAGCACTGTGAAGGTTCGGTGCCAACCCATTCTGGGCTGAGGCTGCTCAGAGCCAAATGCCCCGGCACCCAGCACCCCAACACTGCCAAACATTCCATCTGCTAATGACCCCAAGAGCCTGCGAGAGCCCCAGGATTAAGGCTGATAGAATCAAGATGTTCCCTGCTCTGTGAGCTGCTGAATGAACTGGCATTTTCTTAAATAAAATCTTCAGGCCACCCCAGACTCCTCTGGACAGATTCCTGAGCGGTCTGCAGGGGCCAGGCTGGGCCACTGCTGACAGAAAATTAAATGTGAGGTCAATAAATTCAACATGAAGCACGAAGTATACAAGAAAGTCCTCCAAGGTGATTTCTTTTTCTAAAGGGGAATGGGGGGATTGGTAGTGAAGTGATCTTTAGTCACTAAAGCAGTTCATGACAACAATATAATACAGAGTATATAATATGAATACCTCCCTGCTGCTAAGTAGTTAAATAAACTTTACGTGCAATAAAAATAACCGGCTGCTGCGGAATGAGGAAGGTGTTTGTGCCGACAGGGACAGGCACCGTGCTGTACTTACTACGAGAGGGAAGAGGGCAGCTTGCAGAAAAGCATGGATCCTGCGGTCCTGTTCTGTGGAAAGCACAGCTCTGCAGCCCAACACGCCCACCCGTGTTCTCTCAGGCCTCGGCAGGAGATGGGTTTCCATTTGTTATCTGCTTCTGAATTATTGACTCAACTTTTAAATTTCTAAATTGTACTTTTTCCTTTTATTATAAACATTGGCACATACATGTGCTGAGGAGAAGTGTTATAGCAGAATCACTTGTCGCAATGTGCGGGCACTGAGGCGACAAAATCGGCAGGCTTTGCCCAGTGGTGAGAGCAACCTGTCCGGCAAGTTTGCATCTGAGGAAAGGGGCTGGGGTGCTAGATAAGAAACAGCTCCCTGGGAGCTGTGGTGGCCCACGCCTATAATCCCAGCACTCGGGACTGAGGCAGTAGGATCGCTGTGAGTTCGAGACGAGCCTGGGCTACATAGTGAGTTCCAGGTCAGCCTTAACTATATAGTGAGACCCTGTCTCAAAAAAACAACAACAACAAAAAAAATTCCTTCAGGCCAGGTGTGGTGGCACATGCCTGTAATCCCAGCACTCGGGAGGCTGAGGCAGGAGGATCACTGTGAGTTCAAGACCACACTGGGCTACATAGTGAGTTCCAGGTCAGTCTCAAGTACATAGTGAGACTCTGTCTCAAAAAACAAAAAATAAACAAACAAACAAAAGAAAAAGCTCCCCAACCTCACCATGCAGGAAGGGGTGGCCCCACACCCATGTGACTTTCACTGAGGGCAAGGCTGCCCATCCATAAATGAACACCCAGGTGCATCGCAAGTTTACCAGGTTGTCTTTGAGGATCTCCTTTGACTCGGGATTGCAGTGGCCATTCCAGTGCCTTCCCATTCCACATCACACCCTGAACAAACAGGCTCGGCCTCAGGAGATGACCCCTGCCCCTTCCAAAGAGCTGACCGGGGGTGACAAAGATTATACCCCAACAAGAGGCAGCTGGATGCCTTTAGACATGTTTTTCAAGCCAACAACAAAATCAATCACCCACCTAACTCCCTCCCTGGCACCTTAAGGCACTCTCCATTAGCAGATGCCCACCTCAGTTTCCACCACTGCTTTAGGAGGTATCTTTGCAGCTCCATCTCCAAGATTTATAAAAACCGATGAACAAGTAAATTAACCCAAAGTCACACAGCTACTAAGCACTGTGGTAGGGATTTGAACCCAGGCCATCAACTCCGAAATCTGCTGCTTACCATTTGCTCTGGAATCCGGAACAGCCACACAAAGGAAGAGGCCCATACATGGACATGATGGGGTCACAAATGCTTCAAAAGCCATGAAAAAAACACCAGGGAGGAAAAAAGAATGCTGAGGGTTACATCACCCTCCTAAAAGAGATTTATTGTTGTGCCCCTGAACTCTGTCCCATGAAAAACCGCCCTGGCAGTAAGATAAACAGAGTAAATACACAGCAGGTCAGCCTTGCCGCTAACAGTGGAACACATTCTCACATTCCTGAGGCACACTGTCCAACTGCAGGGCAGGCGAGGGCCACGCGATTGACTGATTAATGTCCATGGGTCGCCCCAGCACCAGCCACTGCCCGACTGAAGGCTCGCACGCAGGCAGCCCGTCTGTGTATCACCAGTTTCTGCCTCCATTGTCTGTCCTGGAGCCGGAAGCTGCCTCCCAACTCCACCTCTTGGCCTAAAGCTGGCCCTGAGGAGCACTTGTCCAGCGACCGTGGACCACACATCAAGCTGGCCCTATGTTTGTACCACATGGGCCATTTATTAGAGCTTTGCTTAAATCGACTCATTTGTTTTTTTCTCTTCCTAGATTTTAAGCAATTATGTGTGTGAAATCATGGCTTTGACACGTAGCTGTGTTCTCCAAACACACATGAAAATACTTCTTATAATTTTTAAATGTTGCTTGTGTAACCCTGAAGATTATCTGGAGAACTATGTCTTTCCGGGCATCAAACTCAGGACCTTGCACTTTCGAGGCAGGCAGCGCCACCCCTGAGCTAAATCCCCGGCACCCTGGAGAAATATGTCTTCCACAAGGCTGTGGGCCCGGGGTTTGGCTCAGTGGTGCCACCACCAGCCTCACAAGCGCAAGGTCCTGAGTTCGATCCCTGGTTGTACTAAGTGTTTACTGGTTTTTCCCAGACCAAAGGGTTTCTGTGGCAAAGAAACTGCAGACACGCTAGAATGGGAACAATTATTTGTTTTTGAAGAGCCTCACTATGCTGCCCTGGGTAAACCTCTGGGCCCAGTGACCCTCTTGCCTCTGCCAGGCTTGCACGTTGAACAATTTTCAAACTGTGACAGGACTTCGGAGGACTTTTAATATGCAAATGCACACTGCCAATTCCAAAGGATTAAGACAGCACGCCAATTTTCCAAACATTACTGGACTGGGAAATTTTTAAAATTCCATTTCAAAGAATAACAACATTCTACAGAATATACTTTGGAAGATTCTACCTTAAACTGCTCTGTAGAGCCTTCACAAACACTTCTCCTAAACAGTCCAAGAATCTGGGAGGTCACATTTTATAAAGCTGGTGGGTGTGAGGTGAGAGACTCAGGAAACAAGGAAATGTCCTACAACTGCATCTATGGCTGTGATTAAGAAATTCGCACCCTGCTGTTTGGAGTCAACAAGTTTTGCCCATAAAGGATAGAGAAAGCAGGTACTGTTCCTAATTGAGGGTGCTAAAGGGAAGCACACCCTTCTGACACCCCTTTACCACCGTGTTTGTGAAACTGGTGATAACCAACAACCAGCTCAAAACCCACACAAAGAAACATCAAAACAGCTCTCTCCCATTGCAAACAGTAATTCTTACACAACAGGCAATGACTGAAAGGATTTCAGGCCAAAACCTTCCTGGGTTTGCTTTAGAGCTTCTAATGTCAAAAGACAATACACTGCCAAGTGGGAAGAGGCAGAGACGGAACCCAGTCATTTGGACCCTGTTTAAGCTGGCAGAAGGCGAAGGAGTCATCCTGAATGGGCAACTGGAATATCAAATTATGTGACCAGAGAAAGCTGCAGAACCTTCACTTGAGTGCCATTTAGTTCTAAATTCCTATGCAGGGGACAGAAGAGAACTTATTGATAAAAGTTAGTATGAATTAGAGCCAGGCTTTGCGGCCCATGCACTCAGGAGGCTGAGGCAGGAGGATTACCGCAAGTTCAAGTTTGAGGCCAGCCTGGGCTAAATAAATGGTGAGTTCAAGACCATCCTGAACTACAGAGTGAGACCCTGTC